CTCTTTCCTTGCCAGGACATGTGCATGAGGTGCAGACTCAGCACGGAAAGAAAGGCCAATGGTTCCCCTCCGTGAGGGAAACTCTTTGCTGGGCTTCTGTGGCAGCTTTATGTGCCACAGAGTCAACACAGATAGAGACTTAAATCCCGAGTGTCTTTGGATAGGTAGTTGGGAATATCTTCAGTAATCACACACTTACCATCCACAGTTTCCAGGGAATTTCTTCTATCATTATTTTATTTAATAAATCTAAGATAGGCACTCACAGGTGAATTCTGGGCATTTTATGATTATTACGAGCCTGGATTGTTCACAGACTTGTAAACATTGAAGAAACTTTAGGCCATTTTAAAATTCTCCTATAAAACAGCAGGAAATGGCATCTAGCAGGGAACAATTAAGAAATTATAAAGTTAATTCAAGAGACTGCTTACTGAAGAGATAATTAAAAGTCTGTGGAAAGAGATGATCTTGTATAGCTACAAGGTCAGTTATTGAAGGTCATGTATTAAAAGGTGCTTCTCCATAATTTTGCAACCTTGCATATCTTGGGACATTCATGGTTAGAAGAGATTAAGGAATTGCAATATATATCCAAACTAGTTAATTGAGGGAATATTAAAAAAATGCTACAGCAAAGGATTCCTGAATGACCACTTGTTCACTATTGGGGAATCACTGCAAAGTACAGGCTTTCAAAGACAAAATATTGGCCTCAAGTGCTTCAGAAGCACAGGAAACATCTAGCACGACTTACAGCAGAGGTTAGAAGACACTCATTTTTGTAAATCACTCTCCTGATCAAACACCATTCCAAACTGTGCAAAGCTTTTTCACAGGCACAACGCAAAGTGAAAGGAAGGAATGAGCTGCTTCCCTTCATGTGCACCTCACACAGGAACTGGATGTGTTAGCAGAACTGAGACGGTTAGCGTATCCTTGTGCATTATCTAGAGCTCTTGGGAATTTATGCAGCACTGCCTACTTTCATATTTTTTGTTCCTAGTGAGAACAAATGGTCAAAAGATCTCATGAAACAGAAATTAAAAAGAAACACATTGTGAGTATTGAAACATATAGTTCAATAACTTTAGAACATTTTTTTCACTCATTGAAATACCAGATTCAAATAAAGCAAATGTATTATTTTGATAGTGCTAACATAGCATATAATAAAAATACAACTAGTGTGAAGATAGCATTGAGTGATTTTAAGGAAATTTAAATAAATATAATATGAAAATGATAAAGTTGAAGTAAGGCATTTTTGCCTTGTAGAAGAAAAAGTTTCAGAAATACTGAACTTCAGATATGAAAGCTGAAAAGCTCAACTTAAATGTTTCTTCTATAAGGGCCTGGCATATTGCCCCCAAAACTTTTCAGTCTCAATGAAACTGCATTTCTTATGGGGAGTTGTTCCAGAAAACCTCTTTTACCAGTTGTACAGCTCATCTCTTCCACTGGGTTGTAAAGAAACAGGCAGAGAAGAGCAAACGCCGCAGGGCATGTCAGCTGGCTCTGCTCCCTGAGGCTTTGGGATGCAGAACATCCCCAACAGCTCCTGCTGCTTGCAAAATGACCCTCCACTCACACTAGGACTCCAGCAGGGCTCTAGGCCACAGTTAAGGCTGATGGAGTGAATTAAGGGTTCAGGGAGAGATAGCTGACAGGAAAAGGATAAACCTCTTTTTAATCAGGCACCACCAGTTTTCTGTAAATGCGAGAGGGTCTGGGAGGTGGCAGAAAGAATGAGCAGAGCTCTAGGAAACAACAGGTATCAAGAGAAGTTAGACCAGTTTGGTTTGTTTTAACTGGAAAAGAGAAAGGCTGAATCATAATGTAGTGCAAATATATAAAATTAGCAGGAGAGACTGGTAATCTGTTGTTCCTGTCCACTGAGGGTTAAAAAAAAGAGATAGCTAATTAGCAGCTAGGATTTGGGTTAATTATTAGAAAGAAGTCTTTCCAAACCACTAGGTAAGCAGGTAGAGCAGCTCTCTCCAAAGTTTGTTTAAGTGAGGTTGTGAAATTTCTTTCACAAGGAGCTTTAATAACAGCCTAGACAAATATCCATCAGGCAGTGGTCTGCATACATTTGCTCCTGCCACAGGGAAGCAGGCCAGGTTAGGTCTTTGTGGTCCCTCCCAGCTGTACTTTCCTTTGATGCTTTGGGATGTGTTTCAGTGCTGGCTTTGGTTTTCCCAAGAGCCAGAGTTTCTGAATGCTGACAAAAGCAGCTTCTCGGAGGAGGCTGGTGAGAGAAAACTGAAAAGAAAAAGGTCTTAAATAACAATTTTAAAAAAATGACTCAGCTCTCCTCTCCCAAACTAAAGAAGCAAAAAGATACATAACCTCAGCTATAGGACATCTTGATCATTTTCATTTGTATTGTACTGTTTGTCTGGGTTTAGTCTATTCAGGACCACAACCTGTTTTCTCCCGTATAAAAGGGATAGTTGGTCATTGCAGTGCTCTGGATCCTTCCTGGAAATAGTTCCTCATTACTGTTTATTTTTGTAATGACTGGATGAAAGGTTTTTTTTTGGCATATCGCTTATGCATAGGGCCCAGAATCTCCAGCGCAGGACGGGGCAAGCTGCAGCCGTAGGCATCCTCCACCAGCAATTTCCTCAGTTCCACAGTTAAATCTTGTTTTGCCACTTATAAATCTTTCCCTTCTCCCTAAGAAATATCCTTCCTTGAGAAATAAGCTCAAGGTAATGACTAGTGGCAGAACAAATGGCAAGCAGAGTTGGGCCCACACAGGGAGGTAAAGCCACCAAGTGCCAAAAGCCTTTAATTTCAATAGAGCAAAATATATTGCTTGGGCAGTGTCAAAGTATAAAACACTCTGGATTATAATCTGTTTGAGGTTATATTCCACCCCTTGTGCAGGGAGAATGAACTTGCGTACAGCTCCTTTTACACTGGGGCAGATTCTTAGCAATCAGCAGTGGTAGAGGACAGATATCCTTATGGAAAAGGAGAGTCAGACCTGCCTCTTCTTGTGTGTTGGCAAATATCATCCACACTGCAAGGTATGAAAAGAAAAAGAATAAGGGAGATAATTCTGACTGTCTGTGTCCATGTCTTTTTTCTAATAGCAGGTTAAAATGCAGGATGGCAGCAAACCACTGCTCAAAGGAAAGGCTGCTCCCTGATATCTGGGGGAGAGGGTAAACTCTACAGTGTTCATTGTCTGGAGTTCCCAGTCACTTTTGGACAGTGGATTTAGTTCTTTAAAACTTCAGACTCTTTCAAATCTGTTAAAATTCTGTGGAAGTTACAAATATTTGATGAGCAAGGTATGCAGAATCAGGGCCTGAAGAGAAGCAATACTGCATATTCTCACAGGGGAACAGAGAAAGCAAGTGATGATCTTTATTTTGAAAGAAAGACTGGTCAAAACATTCAGCAATGACCTTTTCTTTGGAAATCTTTTGTACTTAGAAATAATCATGCACACATTACTCAAAAGCTAACAAATTTTGAGTTTGGTTGATTTCACTGAAATGTTGTGCTTTCTAACTCATGGGTAAAGTGTCTTTTTGATAACATTGAACACCATGTTTCATTGCAGGGGCACTGATTTTCAGATTAAAATCTGAACCAATTAAATTACAAGCCATGATCACATCCATCTGAAATTCAGGTCCCGACACTCATAATATTATACAAATTAGGATCATGAAGAATGTTATGACCTTGAAGCTATAAAAGACTGCAAATTTGCAGACATACCATTTTAAATGCTTTGAGCAAACCTAGGTCTAATACTTAGAATTCAGTACAGGAAATAGTGTATAACGATCATTAGGAATAAACTGAGAATATGAGCAGTAGCATAGCATGTCATAAAGAGTGTAGGTCAATTTAGCTTCAGTTAGGCTAAACAGACCTTACAGGATAAGAAAATGTTGGAGGCACAACACAAATGTGTAAGCAAAAGTTTACAGGAAACAGTTCCAGCACAAGTAGCCAATAAATGTTATCTTTGCCTTACAAAAATTAAAGTAGATCATATGGTCATATCTGATCACCTTATTTAGATTTAGACACTGTGTATTATCAACTCAAGTAACAAAAGAAGGCTCAGATCCCTGACTGACCCTCTGTTCATGCAGAGATACCCAACTGCAAAAGCCCAAACTTCTCTTAAAGCTTAGTGGCTGAACTTTGATAAGTTAGGAAATATTTGCCCCAGTACGTAATTTGGCAATCAGAAATTCTTCAAAATAATACCTACTTTTGATTTTACATATTTACCTTTCCTCTTTCTTTGATGTTTGTTCCATTTTCCTTTTATATCCACAGTCACCATTTGAATATATTTCCTACCTATCACAGTAGCACTTGAACTTGTTGTGTAATCTGACATACCTGTATTCCATTGTTCTGTGCTTAGTCACTTGCATTGTTAAACTGCAATATAAAAATCTTGTCATCAGATACTGTAAAAGCCTTAGTTCTTTGGAAGAGGTTCCTTGGGAACTGTTTTTCTACCCCCAGCTTAATTTCAAATTTGTTGTTGAGTTTTGCCCATGCAGTGGAAACAGTCTGTGCAGAAAACCACAAAGTGTCAGTGGAAGCCCTGAAGTTTCAAAGCAAAAATTAAAGTATTTTGACTGAAAATTCAGTGCCATTCACCACATGAAGATGTCAAGATAACAGACTGTCTTCTCCAAGACTGACTCACCACAGAGAAGTTCATTCCCAGTTTAGGTACAGTAATCACCATCTGAGGAAAGCACACTGAGTTCAAGTTGATTCCCTGAGCTGTGATTGTACTTCCACCACTAGGGGAAAAAAAAAAAAAAGAGTAGGATAATGATACATCTGCTATGATAATCTTAATTACAAATTATATTTTAGAGTAGATGACAACATAAAACCAGAATTAGGGATATATGGGGCGAATGCAAATACATAGCTCTGATCAGTGAGATTATTTTTCTGGGAAACAAATTTTACACTTGCTATAACAACTAATCAAACACAAGAAAAAAAATTAGAATTGTGGTGTGCCAGGATATAAAATAAATGCGTACTTTTTTAAGGAGGGTGTATACTTGTACTTAGCATTTGCTAACTTATTACTTTCAGTAGTGCTCAAAAAGGTATCTTTTTTACTGCTGACATTTTTTTGGCAAAGGCAGATGGCTTGGATTAGAGCTACTGAGACCATAAAAATGTCACTTAAAAACACACACATACTACCATACATATATATTCATAATATTTATGTAGCGCTGGATTAGACTATTTTAAAATCCATTTGCTCTCCTGAGTACTGCTGAGTTGTCACATAAAATGATTTTCCTCACTCATCAGTGTAATGTCCAGATGCAGTACAGGAGACACACTTAGCTGTACAGTAGGTATCTCAGCAGGACATCACAGGTACGCTCAGCAGCAGCTAGGAGTTAAATCACATACAGAAAAGAGGCGCCCTTCCCCCTTCTCCTTCACCTCTGAAAGGAAATGATCTGCCCTCTGCAACTGCACCATAATAGAAGCAATTGGCATGGCAGATAGAGATAAAAATGCAATTTCTTTTGATAGATTGCTGCTCAGTGTAGTCATTCCTCTTTCATTCATTACTTATTTCTGCACAAAACTTTTACTCACCTAAGAAAAGATTTGGCTGGGTGAATTTTTAAAACAACGGGATCTTCTCTGTATGTGAAAGGACCGCTCGCGTCTCGAATAGCTTCATCGATTCCCACCCTCACACGATATTCCTGGGGAATTCGTTGTGCTGGAGTATAGCACTCCACTGTGCTCACCGATACACTGGAAGGAGAGAAAAGGGCTTGCTTGTCAGCATTATACAACACATACTCAGTTTGAAACACTGTCCTTTTAGTGAGTCCCAACCCCTCCTAAGGATCTGCTTGTAAAAAAAGTCATTGATTCCCCTACTGGATGATCAGATTGCAACAAATAAGCGTGGCATGAGGTAGAAACAGCAACACCACTGCTTAGGCTCAAGACTCATCTTAATTTGATTGACTTGCACCTTGACTGCTGCAAGGTGTTTCCCCAGTGCTGGTGACAGCTACATCAGCCCCTGCACCCTACAGAAGCAGCTTCCAGGCTGGGAAGCTTCCAGGTTTAAAGAGAATGACTTGTTCTGCTGTAACCAAGGAAAAACATATTTTTCTTCCCAATCCACAGGATTTACCCTGTGTTAAAAACCTCAAGAAAAGGTGCTGGTGGGGGATGTACCAGCACATTGAAGATATCCCACCCCGGGGGCACCTGCTGACTCCAGGCACTGCTGAGGGGCAGGCAGAGGGCAAGGAGAAGGGAGGAGAAGGTGAAAATTCAGGAAGAGCTGGCTGAATTCATCACAGCAGCAGAGTCTCTGGGATATTCACCTTTCCCTTGCTCTCTCATGCTTGGCCCTGGAAGTCTTCCTCCTACGCTGAGCTCAGTGGGTGAGTGGGCAGCAGAGGGGTGGTTGGATGAGGTTTTGAGCAACCTGGTCTAGTGGGAGGTGTCCCTGCCCCTGGCAGGGGGGTTGGAACTGGATGATCTTTAAGGACCCTTCCAACCCAAACAATTCTATGATTCTATCATCCGGAAGCCTGAAGCACATGACGTGTGGCCGCAGGGAGCAGGGCACATGAGAGGCAATAGTAACGACTGACTGCAGAAGCAAATACAACTCTGTGCGCTGGTTTCAGTGATTTGGGTCCAACCATATCCAGGAGCCCTCCAAGTGAGGTCATTCTGAGACTGTCTCCAAATTACACAAAAGAGGCATTTTTTGGCATTTCTGAATCTTTCCAGGAAGGTGGGGCTCACCATGTGCTATAGGGGTTAGTGATTTTTTCATATGTATTTGGAAGCTTTTTACCACCTTTTAAAGGAAAAAATAAATCCTTGATCTAGCTGCCCTCAGAACTGGGGAAAGCTGCCAATTTACCTAGAGAAATACCTGCCCTGAGAAACTGGCTAAGACCTACGTAGAAGTCTCCAGACAACTTGGCTGGTGAGCAAGACGGGTAGTGGGGATGCTTACTGGATAAGCCCCAGCTACGGTTTGATACCTAGAGGTCAGCTATTCCTTCCCCATGTTCTGCGCAAGTATGACGTTTCACTACTATGACTTTCCATAGTCATTCAGAGAGGATAAAAATTTAGGGGAATTGCTGGGCATCCTGTTCCTGGAACACAGTGGGCCAGATTCTGCCCTTGGCAGCAGAGGTGACAATTCTGTTCACTCCAGCGGGAGCCACACTGCTGTACCTGAAAACAGGACCGAGCAGAATTTGCGCAATGGTAGAATGGCTACCAAATTCAAAACACTTGTCTGCCCACAGCAGAGAATCTGTGCTTGGTATTTAACATTTATATTCAGCTGGGACTGAAGGCATTTCCAGACAGAGCATGTCAAAGATTCTTGACCGAGCTCCTACTGGATCCAGTACAGAGCCACAAGATATTCTGGCTTAATCCTCAAAACAATTTAATGTATGCTATGAAAAGTCCCAAACTGATGCTGCCTCTGGTTTGGAGGATGTTCACTGGTAGCAATGCAGAAATAGCTGCTCCTCTGCATGGGATACACACTCCCACACTGGTCAGGTTTCCACTGAACAAACCAGCAGGAAATGGTAACCTGCATCCACTGAACGCTCACTGGGAGCTGCTCCATGAACAGCAGCTCCTGCTGATACAAGAGAGAGGGCTGAGTGTGTGCGAGTCAGGGTGACAAAAATGATGGGAAATGGTCCGTTCCTAGTCCATTAGAAGCCGATTCGCTACTTCTCTATGCAACCTTTTAATGAGGTTAATGAAGGCATTACAAAATAAACAAGTCTTCTAGGGAACCGTGGTCCTTTCTAGAAACCTTTCAGACATTGTAAACTCGGGATGTAATCCAGAACTGAATGCTTATTGCAGTATCATTTCTCTGATATGTAACACAAGGAGAGGAGAGCAATGCATGTTTGCGTTTTTTTTTTTTTACTCCAAGACATTTTAATCAAGCCATTTCAATATCAAAGGCATTGCTTTTTAGTAAGTACATTACCTTTTCAAGGTGCATGGTTTCTCACCAACAAAAATCCTTCTGGATTTGCCACTGTTTAGGTATTTTCCAGCTACAGTGAGCAATGTTCCTCCAGATTTGGGGCCATAGGTGGGAGAGATACTTGTTATGACAGGATTCTGAGGAGGGGTTAAAAATAACAACAGTGGATTGTTAAATTGTTTTCAAAATGTAAAGAGGAAGAATCTTAAAACATTTATTAGCATTTCCATGAAGTAATAATAAAGCAAACAGGAATATAGAATTACCATACTGGATTGAACTCATGAGAAGTCTCTTTCCAGTTAATATTGAAGCTAATTTTGACAATAAAGTTTTAATCATAGTGCTTACCACATACGAAAATGTATTGAATAGTGTTTTGCCATGTCCAACAGAAATACTACTGGATATATTAAAACTTGGATTTTTTGCAGCAGGAACTGTGCATTCCAGCCTTTGGAAAACAAGGAAAAAGATGGGATTACATTTTTTTCTCTGGCTTGATTTTTTGTATTAAAATAGAACCACATGAAACTCATAATAATGGAGGATCCATATTAAACAAATCATCAATCTATACATGTCAGGGACATTTCAGAAATAATAGCTAAAAGAACTGTAGTTGTCTTCTTTAATACTAAATACAAACACGGTGGTGTTCATACTTGGCCAGAGAAAATAATTTTAGTATACCAAATACATTTCAGAAAAACAAAGCATGCTAGAGAAAACAAATACCTCCCATTCAATGGCTAAGCTGGTTTTTGGAATTCTCCTTTAGTGCCAAATTTTGGCAGACAACAGGATTAGAAAAAATGCATCATATACACAAGTTTGTTGTATCTAAATATTACCAAAAATTAAACTTGAACTTTTGTGACCGCATGTGTCAATGTATTACATTACATTTACACAGTCTCATATATAAGCTAATCTCCTTAAATAATTTTGTTTGCATTAAGACTGTTCAGGATAGCAGTTAGGAGAGTGCTCAGTACTTCTGGAGGGTGACCTTTTCGCTGCTGTGTATCTGTGACATGATTTGCACCTTGCTGTAGTAGCAGATAGTCATATGCTTTGAACTGAGAGAGGATATTCATTGAACTTCATATTTCTTCAAGATAACAACCAGAATAGCCATTATCCCACTGTCTCAAATACTTATTTCTGAGGAGGAGGAGGAGAGGTGCAGCTGAGGGTCATAAGCCTCTGGATGTCAAAATACCTGCATCTTCTTACATCTCTCTCCAGCAGCTTCACAGATCAGGAAGACGGAGGTGACATAACTGAGCCCAGCAGGATCTTGGCCAGAGGAACCTGCCTCCTTTTCAAACCTTTGAATAGTTTCATTCTTGCCAGCTCCCACAGATGTTGAACAGCATTTCGCAGACAAACCAGAAAAAGCTGCTGCAGGAGCTATCAGTATTAACTAGATTTATTTGATCTCCATCTTGAGCACTTTTTTCTTGGGGACCTTATCAAACCAAGGGATTGTTTCCTGTTTGAAATTTCAGAATTGGACATGACACTTACAGACTGAATGTTTATATCCTAAAAAAACCCCATACTGCATAAAGAACATCTGTATAAAAGGAAATTAATATTTTAGGTTTCTTACTTGTTTTTGTTGCTAGATTTTGCTTCCAGAGCACAAATTTGTCCTCCAATATGGACTACTGTATTTTTAAATTCAAATCTATTATTTTTGCTGAATCCAAAGTCCCATCCACACAGTGTCAGTTTTGTCCCGCCTTCCAAGGGAGCGCTGCTCGGGAGAATCTGTTAAAAAAAATATTGTGTTAGTTACATCAGGTTTTCTTTAACTTCAAATGGAGTTAAAGAATGTGCAAAGGAATAATTTTAGAAAAACATTTCTTCTGGTAGACTATGTCCTACCATTCATCTTAATTGTTCTTCACCTTTCATTTGTCACATTATGAGCTTTCTCTGACAGTAGCAATAAATAACAAAACCTATACCAGAAAGCTTTGAAGGATAGTGTTTAGGGGCACTGAGCAAGCTGTGCATTGTAACAGTCTTTTAAATCCTGCCGTTCTTGTCTTTCACATCTTCTTTCTGGCATGTTAAACATACAATGTACTTATTTTGTTAGAAGCTGAATGCTGAACACAAAAGAGCCCCAAAATGACCATTTTTTGTCAGCCTGATGAAAGTCGGGTTCAGAGTGAAGTAGCTTCAAAGACACAAAATCCGATATTGCAGTGGCTGTGATAAAGTTAACGTTTTTTTTTTTTTCCCTAAATCTTTTATAATTGGTCACCTCTAATTCCAAGTTAAAAATAAACTACCCCTCAGAAACACAGAGACAATCTACAAAGGAAATGCTTTTTTTTCTGTATATTGTAAATTGTCCTGTAAAACATAACAATGGTGGGAAAAATGTAGGAACACTATAGAAGTCTTACAAAACTCAGTAAAAGTACTGGCCAGTACTGCCAGTAAAAAAAAATATAAAATCAAAACGACATTGGTTCAGGGTTTATGAGGACTTTTAAGAATACTGCATAATTTTGCAAACATACCAGTACCACTGGACAAACAACAGAGAATGAAAGACTGAATTTACATTTGTGGTCATAGTGCCTAAATGTCTTAGACTTAGTGCTTTAGTGACAGCAGTTTTGCCCCTAAAATGCAATACGGCTGTGCCTTTCAAAGGACCTGACTTCATTTTCAAGCTGAAAGGAAAGTGTTTGAGAGATACTTGGCTATTATTTCATCTGGAAATCCAGTAAGACAGCACATTTCTTTTCAACTCTCTTGTAGCTATACTTCAAGACTCTCACAAATGAACTATTGTAGATAGAAAGGCAGCTGAAGAATACTTCAAAAGAATTATACCATATATTCTATATGGGGAAATTTACTGACCCCATTAGAAACCAGACAAAGAGTCTGATCTAAAATGCACTGAAGCCGGTAGGAATCATTCCTATTTTAATGTGCTTTGAATCAGCTCCCAATGAGCAAAGAGGGAACCTATGCAGGAACAGTACTTTCGCACAAATCCCATAAAAAAGGAGTGATACTCGCACAGCCCTCTGACACACAACACCGCAGCTATGAGTGTGGAGCAGAACTGTGTCCTGTGGAGTCTGTGCTATTCCCAAGTTTAACTTTCCCTTATTTCTTTGTTTTTTTATTAAAAATCTGGATTGACTTCAGATACTAGTTTTCCACTCTACTTAATATCTCAGCACACTATCTATTTTTGGAGTAACAAAACCCTAGCAGAAACTGAAATTGCTCTGTGGGGGTACAGGATGTCTCATGTTTTGTACAATAATGCATTGACGTGTGGCTTTTGAAGAGTTTGAAATGTAATCCATAAGTTAACAACATAAGTGTGTTAAAATTAGGCTTCACAAACCATACAGAATAAAAACCGAAGGCATTTAACTGGTTTTGAGTGATCTTATCTGCCAAAAAAGACTTGTGATAGCAGCCCATGTGCCTTAATTGAGGGAGAGTGAAAGTATTTACTGCATTTTGCCAGAAAATTTATGAGTCAAGACTTCTAAGTAGATAGCAAAAAACAAACCAAATCGTATACTTTTTAATTTAAGTTCTGCAGAAACTCCCCCAGACTGTTTTTATAATTTCTTTAGTTTTATTCCACTTGTTCTGTACAATGAAAGCACTGAAAGTCAAATGTAGTTTTGCAGATTTTTTCTTGGGAGAGTCAACAAGAATGAATAGTGAACCTCCTGAACTTTCAACAGAGGCATACATAGGCATCTTCTGTGTACTTCCATTGTGCAGGTAGTAACAGAAACTAAGCAAAGCCCAGATCAGTTATAAATGCTGTGGAATTTAGGATTCAAAAGTTCTCTATATAGCAAAGTAACTCCACTGGTAACACGAAGCAAGTCCTGCTGCAAGGCTGATGTTCTGCTTCTCCCTGCTGCTCTCCGGACTTTGATTTGAGTTAAGAGAGAGAAAGTTAACTTTTTTCTTTTTGGAAAAATTTCAAGTATTGTGTTTTTCTTTTGTTTATATTGACAGCTATTATGCTAATATCCACTCACATACTTTATAAATTATTGGAAGAAAGCATCTATTTATTAAAGTTTCAACAGTCCATTCATTTTAGTTAAGAGGCAAGAACATGTACAGGCCACATGTGAAATTTACAGCAAATCCTCCATCCTAAACAGGCAGCAGAAGGCCTGATGTTCTTGATACATCTGAGATAAAAGGCAGTTAAAATTACTCACTTTAAAAACAACAACAAACCATGCCAGGTTTTTAATTACAACAAAGAATCAAAAGGGAGACTAATTTATTTCTTCTTTTATGCTATTTACCTTTCAGCATGACCTGAATGCCCCACACAGATGCCTGCAATTTGTTCCAGCACCAAGTGATCTCCGAGGAACCTCCTCCAAGTCCGGCGGCTTTCCCCTGGCACCTACTGTCCAGGCTGACAAAACCACGCCTTGTTGCTGGCAGAGGCATGGATGGGAGCGGGGTATGGTGCCGAGGCACAGGGTGGGAGCTGGGCTTTGGTGTAGCAGGGGGGATGCGTGGGCAGAGCTGGAGCTCTGTGCTCCCTGTCGGGCTGGGGTGCTCCAACAACAAGGGCTTAAAGAACGGTAGAAAGATGAAGGATCTGCAGGACTCTACAGGAAAATACTGAGTTTCTTCTCTGACATCCCTCATGAGAGGAAAATATATATATACATATTTTTTTTTTTTTAATTGCACACCACTCTGTACAATAACCTGGGAAAACTTTGTTGAAGACTTAGTTAACATCCACTGGACCTGACTCTCAGAAAAGCTCTGTTTCCCCTCAGGTTAAAGCGATCGTATGACATGTGTCAAGCAATCTGTCCCTCTGAAAGCTGCAGAATATTAGGAGGGATTCGGACTGAATTTCAGATACAATGCAAAGCAGGTCATCCTCTGTTTGTTAGGAACAAAACAAGCTTGTTTCTCGTATTTTATGCATATGGGTTTAAAGACAGACCAGAGGATGATGAATAATCTGTTTTATAATTTTTTCAGTAATAATGTTAAATGTCATGGTCCAGTAGAGCATGAAATCTGTCTTAACAGCTAGCAATCCAAAGGGATTTAACTACTCAGCTGCATTTTTTTCCTTACAAGCCTTCTAGAAGCAACTTCCACCAACATGGGCACGCTGTAATTCGAGATTCACTTAAGATCCGTCAGTGCCACAGATCCATATTCATTACAGGGGTACGGTGGGCTTGTGCTGAGCAGGCAGGGCTGAAGCCACATGGGGAAGGGGAGCACCTGGCCAGCCCCACGCCTGCTCCCACCGCCCCACATCCGAGGAGTGCTCCCCTGGATGAGTCCTCCCCACGACTTCACAGGGACTGCAGAGGTGGCCTTGGGAACGCACCTCTTGGTCTAAGCATCCCTGCATGGGCTCCAGGCGCTTGCTTCTTAAAACTGCTGAGTGCACATGCTCATAATTGAAATTAAAGAGGGCTATATGAGCTCAGCACCTCTGAAAATCAGAAACTAAGCAGTTCAGAGCCTTAGAAATCTTTTTGGAAGCATGGCAATATACAGCTGCTGCTGGAAAGTTTTGCCAAGAAAAAATATTAAGGGATGGTACTTGTGCTAGAGCTCTAGGAAAGACAAAACAAGCTGTGCAGAATAGCTGTGAGTAGCTTGGAGCTGGCACAGGTATGTAACAATCCATCAGGACTAATTCTCACCTTTGAATTGGTGATTTATAGTCTCGTAAAAATTAGGCCAGAAAGGACTATTTGATCATCTAATCCAGCCTTTTGGAAATAAGTATGTTCTTGTATAAAATGAAAGTAAAATATTCGCATTCTGCGCTTGCAATTTTTTTACAGCTCCTTTGCCCAAAGGTAAATAGCAACAGAAGGCAAGGCAAACACCCCTTTCCATCCATTTTGGGTTTGATTCCTATATTGCATCACTGTTTGTTCACTGAATTTTGCCTGTGTTAACCCTAAATTTTGTATCTGAAAGGCGAATATGGAAACGAAAAAAACCCCTGTAAACGTGTTTCTGTATTGTTAGCAGTTTTGCCTGTCTACTCTATCAAAAGTTGTTGTACATTAAATCAACTGCCTGGTTGAAAGAAATACATAATTTATTTGAAAAAATCTTTTGTCTCTCTTTCTGTCTAAGAGTTTAGCATGTCAAATTTACATCTGTGTTTATAAGCTATATGCCCATAAAGGAAAATGTATTTTTAACTACACAGTGTCATTTAAATTCACTAACAAAAGCAAATGGGTGTATGTGCTACCAGGAAGTTTTACGCTTGTCCTTCCCTCGGTTTACTAGTCCGCTAACTGCCCACAAACCTCCACCTTCACAGCTATGTCACAATTCACACGGGATGATTCAGTTACATGTACAGCCGGCCAGTGCGAATCCTGCGTTAACCATAGCTAAATGAAAACAGGAACGCGCCAGTGTGGCTCTTCGCTCGTCTGTGCGGTTTTGTTCTCGCACACCCTTTCTGGGCCCTGGCCGGCCGGCAGCAGGCTCCGGCTGTCCCCCAGCCCAGGGAGGCCACAACTACTGGTTTCCCCCAGTGGCCAGAGGACCCATGGGAACAAGGAGCTGTGGAGGGACATTAGGAAAAAAGATCTCCCCCAGGGTGATGTTTTGGTTGACAGCTCTGCCACAGAGCTCCGGTAGGGCAGAGAGGGGAAACACCACCCTGTCCTCCAACGCCAGAGCCGGTGGGGACGGATGAGGAGTGGGGGCCGGAGACCTCCTGCGCTGGGTCAGGCTGTGGCAGCTGTGGGTGGAAGCGCTTTCCTCCACCTCCTCCCTTTGAGAGGGGTCTGAGGGGAAGGGTGCTCCTCCTCCTGACTGGGCTTTCCCATCAGACCCCCACCAGGCTGGCTCAGACACAGGTTGTTTCCCCATCAGGAGAGCTTTGCAGGGCCGAGGCTCTCCTCTGGCAAGCCGGGATGATGAGACAGACCTGTCCACTGTGAGCACCTGAGCCCGCAGTGTTCAGGATGTTACGTGCATCCAGCCAGGGGCTTCACGGACACTGAGGCCAAGGGGAAGTCGAGCAGAGCAGATATTTCATTTATTGTAATTGCACAAAAATAATCACAAAATTTCCGCAGAGTGCAGAGCGCGTTCTTCCCTCAGAGATAAATAAGAGAAATACACCATTTTACCTCATAAACTGTAGGCAAGCAGGTCTCCTGGGTCCAGGTGCCGCCGGGGCACTCGGGAGACCGGAGGCACTGCTGGCCGCACCAGCCACACTGCATGAAGGGAGGTGCCAGCAGGCACTGGCTGCAGGACCTGAAGTGGTGGCAGCCCGGCCCCTTCAGCGGGATCTTCGTTATCTGTCGGCGGAAAGACACGATGCACAGATCGTTTTAACACATACACTAAGTGGCAAGAAGAGTCTCTATTTATGCGATACACTGCGGTGCTGCTCAGATTTCAGATGTGCAAGCCACAGTTCGACTTCTCTTTCACTCAGTAATTATAGGATCTTATAAGTAATTTAACTGACATGATTTTAAATTCGCTTGGGAGAAACCCTAAAGGCATCTTAATGTTATATACAGTTACTACCAGCATCTGGTGTTTACAGCAAGATAGCATTTTTTGCTGATGGAAAAAGAAAACAGCAGTGTGCTCCCCCCAGTTCTGCACTAGTTCTTGGAAAAAACAGTGTATCTCAGTATGTCCGAGTTCATACGTTTGCAAAAATAGGCATGACGGCTATTTCAGCTTCGGCGAGCCCGTATTAGTCTCTGTGACACACTTACAGCATGTGACTGCCCGTATACTTGTTTTTTAACACCTACCATCAAAAAACCTATACTATACCTGAAATACGAATTAAAATTTGTATAATTTAAAATATCAGGATAGTTATGATGATAGTCACTCTAAATAGATAAGAATTATACATCTTTACACTTCAGTACCTTCCTTAAAACGTATTTTGGACATTTTATTGAAGATTACTCTTACAAATATCTCATACATTTCCAGTAAATGATTAATAACCATCTTTACTAATGGCTGATGTATTTCTGTAAATTCTTATAGAACTCAACGGGTCAAATTATTGCTTACTATTATGGTTTAGGATTATCTATCTGTAATATTATCTGCTGATGTTTTAAACCCATTCTGCAATGCATATCTACTTATGACAATAGCATATTTATGATAGCTCTTCATCTTTTATTAACCGTTTGTAGACTACATGCTAAAGTAATATTCAAACCATACTATGAACACTGAGTCCCAATTTTAAACACACCCACGTAACTCTTGCACACACATCCCTCCTTAAAAAGTTACAATGTTATGACACAAACCAACAAAAGCCAGGAAACTGTGAGCACCATTCTATTCTTAAGCCATTGTGTTTTTTCTTTGCAAGCACTTGAATTAAGGACAGGGTTTCAGCCTTAAAATTTGCTTTTCCTGGCTTTTGTTGGTTTGTATCACAGCTCTTACATTATTTAAACATTTCTCAATATTAGACTGTTGGTTTGTTTAGTAGGGGAAAAAAGATCTTGGAGGAAACTTTCCCCTACAATGTTCCCAAGGGAATGGCGAGGCTAGGAGGATGCAGAGCACAAAGCAGCAGTGTGAAGAGTGGCTCTTACTGAAAGTTGCTCCTCTGAAGGCAGGTTTACACAGTGCACAGAAGGATTCGATTATGGACCACTCACCTTTTTCCCAGTCACTACCAGGGTATAGCCATCATCTGCTAACGAATTCTCGACAACAACTTGTGGAGAGACGGAGTGGGAGTCTAGCTGAAAGCTGACATGTGGAGCTGTGGGTTCTGAACGGGAAACCACTATCTGAAAGAGAAAAATTGGGAAAATCAGCAGGTAGTGTGTGACATAAATGCATGCTGCTCAGCAGTCTCACATTCCTACCACTTCTCTGCTTGCATTAATTACTTTGCATTACATTGCATAATATTTTGCATAATGTTCCATCATGATCTGATTAAAGCACTATAAAATCTACTTTATTTAACACAGCAAAATCATGGCTGTTGGAAGATCCTCAAAATACATCGTATTTATTAAAATATGAAGGAGTTATTGCATGTTTTCTAGTCCTTTAATTTCAGGTATTTATAAATCAACAGCGAAAAATGAAGATGGGCCATTTAGTCAGCCCTGTACATTTAAGAAAGAAGAATCTTATCTACAACATCTATTTAAAAGAATCTTAAAACTCCAGGCCTTCAAAAGTCAAAGATATTTCCATTTATTTTCACTTTGGTCCTTCAGTTTGAAAAGTAAACTTTACCCTGCGTCAGCAGTATCTGGTCTTGCTGCATGCAGGGCCATTAGAGTGCAGAGCCATGGCAGGTGCAGGTCGTTGCTGTGAGCAGTGCTATGGAGCCACAAGCACACGGAGCTCGATTGCCAGAGCTGGCGAGGTGGCTATTGCAGCAGACAAGCTCCTTGCAAGATGTGGCTGGGCACCTCGAGGTATGGCTCCTGATGATCTCTGTGGGAGCCAGGTGCCCAGGATAGAGCACTTAAAGGACCTCTTAAACAACAGGGAGAGCTGGGGGCTTCTTTGGAAGATGCTCCAAAACAGGAGCCTAATTTAGTTGTCCTGAAGCCCCTTTGCAAGAGCACTCTCTCTTTCTCTCTCTCTCTCTCTCTCTGATTTTAGGAGATCTTAGGGAGATTAGTCACACCAGCATGAAATTCCCTCACTAGTCATCTCTCTGCATCTTGAGTTACCTAAATACTTCTGAGAATTTGGGCCTCCTCCTGCAAACACACGCTTAACTTTACTACTGTAACTTTGTTGACTTTAATGGGATGAGTCATGGCTGTTAAGCAGAGGCATAAAGCATCTGCAGATTGGGGTGGGTACTTGATAGCGAGATTTTATAGGCTTGGGCCTGCAATCCAGAAGGATGTGCGCTCAAATGTGATAGCATCAGACAACAAAGGCAGAGGATTGTTTACATGAGGGGAGATCATGTTCATGTTTCAAAAGCTGCATCACGTGTAGTTTACTTTAGGAATTTAGATAATCAACATTTGCTAAGAAGTTGAGATTCTATGGAGTTCATTATTTAAAAAGATTGAAGCTATTCTGAAAATAACTTGTATGTCAAATGTTTAATTTTTCACTATAATGAAGCTTTTCTTCTGACTCTGAAGGCAGCATCAGAACAGCTAGGACATTGACTTACACGATTTCACTGGCTTCTCGCACTGCCAAGGTCTTTCAACAAGATGGCTGACTCCAAAACTAGACTTACAGATGCTGTAATTACAGCTGATGTTTTGTTGTAATTCAAGACTTAAATAAAATATATGAGCAGTTAATTCATGGCGGTAAGTGCTTCACATCCCGGAGATATTTACAGTTTGGGGTTACAAGAGGCTTTTTTTTTTCTTTAAAGTGAAACTGCCTCTGTTAAAGATTTTGCTATGTTTCACAGTACAGAAGGTGCAGCTTTTAGAAATCAATAAGGTCTGATCACTTTTGTTGACACAGAAGTATGGTCTCTGACTCAGTGCATTAGGGCATGAGCTCTGTTCTTATATTCAGGACAATGAAAAATAGAATGGACTGCAAAGCTGCATGAAAAAGCTTGATTAATGTTGGCATTACGGGGAGAGGTAGCACCACAGCTGCAAATACCTTTTTAGTTGATCATTAGCCATGTCTCATCTCGAATACCCACTGCTATAAAATGCTAAGAATTCTTTTCTATCATTAATCCAGGCTTCCTCTTATTGCCAAGCATTCTTTCTGATTGAGCCACAGTGTTAACCCTTTAAACACATCTGCCATTGCAACCTCAGAGCAATACATGAAAATTTGGATCCCATCTCTACAATCTTGGAAAAATTATTTGGTACTTTAAACACTGACCAACCTTTATTTTACTGAGGCTGATAGTCAAATCACCTGCTCAAAGACCAAGTGAATAGACTTTGACTTCATAACATACAGGGAGCTCAGATTACACCTCCTATCTCTGTTGGGACTATGGAAAAAAAGTCTGGAGTTTGCTTAAAACTAGTCTACCAGCCTACAGTGCTGCCGTAACAGATACTAGAAGCAAAAATGCTCTTTTAGGTCTATATAACTGTGCAGTTTTTGCATGCATCAGCCCAGTCCTTGAAATTCTATCTTACCCTTATCCAACATAATCATGAAGAAAAAGGTAATTCGAAGACAGCTTCTACAGCAGTAAGAAGAGGCTACTTACGACTCCAGTGTCGTTCTCAGAAACCTCTGATTTTTATTGCTTGGGACTGGGCTGGTATGGGTACAGTGTGGCTTTAATCTACCGTGGACACACCACCATACTTCTACCATGGAAATGGTTCAGTACTAGAGAAGGATTTCTCTTTACAAAGTCTATAAAGTGCTGGGTTTTTTTTTTTTTTTTTTTTTTTTTGTGGCAGAGGGTGGTATAGGGGTTTTTTTTTTACATTTTAAGAATTAATTTAATAATCAAGCATTTTTCCAGAACATAAAATAAATTAAAGCATATCGTGTGCCTGCACTCAAGCAGTTAGGAGAGAGGGAATGTCTTGCACAAATAAATAACTGACTAAAAGAGAACAAACAGATGTTAGCAGTAAATGGTCAGTCCTTGCAATAGTGAGGAGTCACCAGAGGTGTTCTGCAAGGTATCTGTGCTGGGATCTGTACTGTTCAACATACCCATAAATGAGCTGGAAAAGTGGTTGAGCACTCTACTGACAAAGTTTTCTGATGATCTGAAGATATTCAAGGTGATAAGGATGAGGACAGACTATGAAGGATGGCAGGACTTGACAGCATGTCAAGGCAATAAAATGGCAGGTGAAATACAACAAAGATGAATTTAAAGTGGTATATGATAGATAGTTCCATGAAAACATCATCGCACTGCTCAGCAGCAGTCAAAAAATAAATAAAAACTTAGGAATTATTAGAAAGGATTAGAGAACAAATCAGAAAACATCCTGATGTCATGCAAATTCATGGCTTGCCTGAACCTTCAATTCTCTGTGCAGTTCTGGTTGCCTCATGACAAAAAGAGTATGTTAAAATGGGAAAAGGTTCAGAGAAGAGTAAAAAAGATGATCAAAAGGCTGTAATGAACAATGACTGAGTAGGGTAGGTGTAGAAATGCTATGAACAAGGCATACAGAATCATGAGTGTGCAGAGGCTGGCCATTCTAATAAAAGTACTAAACACCATAAAAAGACAAAAGTGAGAATCAGGTTCAAAGCAAACAAAAGAGTAAGAATTCCTAGCAATATGTGATGACCTACGGGACTCCTTGCTGAAGGTTATGAATGCAAGAAGAATACAAATTCAAAGGGAAACTCCACATGTACATAGAAAGAGGTAAACAGACAAAACCCGATAGCTCAGGAAATCTCCAAAATGGAAAATAGTTGTAGGCTTGAAGAAAAAGGTATTAGGCATGTTGCCTGGGTCCCTAGGCATCCACTTGTCAGCACTGCTGGAGACAGAGCACTGAACTAGATGGACCCTTTGTTTAAACCCATGTGGCTCTTCTGATCTTCTTACAAATAGCCATTCCAAGAATTACATTCATTAGCAGTAACTACAACCTCAGACATCCTTCTCAAAGCAAACACAATATTTATGTCCCTCTATTTAAGAAAAAACCAAAAAAAGTATGTGGTCTTTCAGCATAGCTCAAAGTACTTCCATGAAGATAACAGCCAACAATTAATCAAATAATATATTAATTAATACATCCTTTATACTGGAAGTCAGTGATCACTTAGGTCCAGGAACATGGAAATAATTCCTTTAAATATACTTTCATTACTATCAACAAGTATTAAAGTTAAGTAAGAAGACTTGACTCTAGGTTCATTTATACATAACATGGCAAATTAAGACTGTAATAGCTTGAGTTGCAAAACAGCATGCAACAGCTTCTTTTAAAAATCATTCTGATGCTCAGTTCTGCCAGTCAGCAGGATTGAATTACAGATGTTACAGTCTACATGTTGAAATATCTTCTGCAAAAATGAGAGGCCTCCTAAAAGCAATCCCATCTAAGTATCATATTGTTATTTTTTCCCTAGATGTCTGGCAGGTGTAGGCCATTACCCAGCAGAGATAGGCTCAGGGTTAACTTTATTGTGTAACGCCTCAAATGCCCTGGGATATGCAGCGTGGCCTTGCAAAGGGCACATATGTAGCTCTCTAAATGCTGTATATCATTCTAATCCACGGAGAGTATAATGGATCTCCTCTGAAGAGCATAAGCTTTCCTACTCAAACTGAATATTAAAACATGTGTGCTCTCAAAACAGATTTGGCACCAGGTGTTAATTTTAATTTGACTGTATGGATTTTGCATTATGCAATAAGATACATTCTTTACCACTGAAAGAACTGATAAAAACTGTTAAAAATTGAGCTATAGATATGACAATGTTACTTACCAAGAGTTAGCCACAGTTTTCTGTTGATTTAAAAATTATAAAGTGGGGAGGATTGCAACTATGCACCTTACTACAAACGCATGTGCGCATAGTTTGCATTTAGCCTTAAATACTGGTCAGACTAAATAAACACCTTATCTTTCAGTACTGGTCAGACTGCCAGTATTGAAAAGCCAGATGAATTGCTGGACCACAGAAGCAGGATAGAAGAAGGCACTGAGAAGGCATTTGTGATGACTCCATGGGTAGCTCATCATTCTTTCCTCCTTCTGGCTCTCTAAGATTTAAGGTCCATGCTCATATATTTCTTCACCTCCTTGCACTTGCTTCCAACATGGCTTGCACTGGCACTGGTGGGTTTTGTTACGACTACATTTGTCTAGTGGGACAG